CCCCTAAAAGACTTTCTGTCTACGGAGGAATGGCAATGAGACTGACAGCTACCTTCTCAATGGCAATCAGGGCAAGTAAAACATACTAGAATAATATTTTCCATGTGATTTAAAAAAGCTGTCAATTACAGGCCCAAAGTATTTTTTCTTTTTTTGAGAATAGAGAAAACAATTTTTTTTGTTTTGGAGAAAACAAAGAGAGTTGTTTTCTTGACAATTTTGTTTTATTCAATAAACAAAAGGCTAAAAGATGAACTTGTGGCGGTAAGAAAGAAAAATTATCTCTGCTAGAAAAACTGAGGTGCCAGGAGGAATTCTGAGCAAAGACAATGAGAAATATGTTGTGAAATCTAAACAAACACCACATGGAACAACAATAACATTGTAATTTGTGGGATTAAAAAAATAGAACCAATTCACTGCCTGCGACAGTACGCAGATCGGGAAGGTGCGTGTTCAGAAACAGAGGGTTCCAGGGTGCTTGTGTCGTTGAAGAAGGAGGAGACCGTAGCTCCCTTTCTATTTGGATGGGCTGGGAATTCATGTTACAATTCCTAAGAGAACCACCAAGAGCTATATAAACATACAGTTTAGTTCTGTTGTTCCCATATAACTATGCATACATGTAGTTTGGACATAGAGAAATTCTAAACTATTAGAGGAATAAAAAGGAGCAAGAAAAAAGGAATCACAAATCAGGCAGTAAAAGGCGGGAAAGTGCAGCATGCAAGAAAACAGACATAGACAAAAACAAATCAGTAGCTGTAACAACCATAAATGAACTGCCAGACACTTACAGACAGAAACTTTAATTATAAGGTATTTATAAGATCCATTTCTAAAATGTAAGATGCAAAAAAGTTAATAAAATGGGATCATTGAAGTTAAGCTTTGAAACCATATTAATGTCGAATCAAACAGAAGCAAAAAATAACTAAAAGCAAAGATCTGACCATGTAAGTTTTATCAGGAAGCTGTAACAAATCTACACTTGTAAGTACCTAATAACATAGCTTCAAAATATATAAAGTGAAGACTGATAGAACTGCAAGGAAAAAGATCCTCCACGCTGCAAGAGAAGTTCAAGCATAGCTCTAGTACCGACAGATCAAACGGCAAAAGAACCAGCAAGATCAGAAAATAATTAAGAACGCAACTCACAAGCCTGACCTCTGTGTCTGTACCAGAACACTGATCCTAGTAACTAGAGAATACATATTCTTTTTACATATAAGATTTTTAAAATTTTATTTGAAAGAGCAACGGAGAGAGAGGGAGAAACAGAGAGGAGAACTTCCATTCGCTGGTTCACTCCCCAAATGGCCACAACGGTCAGGACTGAAGCCAGGAGCCAGGAACTCCACTCAGGTCTCCCATGTGGGCGCAGGGGCCCAAGCACTTGGGTCATTTTCTGCTGCTCTCCCAGGTGCATCAGCAGGGAGCTGGACTGGATGCAGAGCAGTCAAGACTGAAAGCAGTGTGCCGATACGGAAAGCTGGCATTGACAAGCGCAGCTTAACTCGCTGCACCACACCACCACTGCCAGCCAGTCTTTTCTTTCGATGTTTATTTATTTCATTTTATTTGAAAGGCAGCGAGAGAAAGACAGAGCTCTTCCACTGGTTCTCTCCCCAAATGCCGGGAGCCCGGAGCTCGATCTGAGTCTCCCTCAGGGTGCCAGGGGCCCGGTCTCTAGGGCGGCCGCCTGCTACCTCCCGACCTGCACACGAGCGGCGTGCTGGCACTGGAAGCAAGGCCCGGGCAGATTCTCTCCAAGAACGCGCGGAGGAGATAGGAAAACTGAGCACAGCCTGGGCCACGCAGCAAATAACAACAGGTCTCAAAAGAGTCGCACGTTTTAGACCAGCACTGC